GGCGGCGGAGCGGAGCGGAAGCCTCGTGACGGTCACAGGATGCGGCTTTCGAGATCCCGGGGTCGACCTGCGTGGGGTTGGCGGAGAGACCTCGGGGCCTTTTCCAGAGCCCGGGCCGCCCGCGTTCTGTGAGCCGGGGTTCTGAAAGGTCAGGTTCGGGGCCTGGAAAGGGACCCGGAGCCCGCGGAGCGACGGCGCCCCTGGGCCGAGGCTTATGCAGCCCAGCCTGGTGATGGCGCTCGTAGTTATATTATTTGTGATATTTTACTGGGAATTGAACCCAAGGCCTTTATCCGGAGATGTATTTCTAGCTCTGTTTATTACTTAATTTTATTCTGAGGTAGGACCCTGGGACGTTGCCCGGGCTGGCCTCCAATGTGCGATCCTTCTTGCCTAGGCCTCCCAGAATGATAGGATTTGCAGGCGAGCCACACCACACCCAGTTGGTGCTTGTTCAAAAAAAAAAAAAAAGAAATCCAGAGTTCGAACGCAATGTTTAACTGGGGCAGTAATATTTTTAGGCTCCAGGCGCCTCAGGCACGTGGAGGCTGCAGGAGAAGCCAAAAGGGAAGCCCAGCTGGGGCCTGGGTCACAGACAGCTGCAAGACCCAGCCTGTCTGCATCGCGGGGCGTCACTTCTGAGAGGACCAAGCCCAAAGCAGAATGAATTCCTCCTGTGAACCTTCCGCAGCCTGGATCTGAAGTCTGGGTGGTTTGTTGCTCCTCTTCGTCTCGGTACCCAAGAGTCCCGTTTGAGGCCATTGAACTTCACATCTCTTCCTTTCAGGACCAAACCTGCACCAGGAAGGATTTAGTCTTGTGGGTTTCACAGCCTCTTTCTCCACGTGTTCTAAAATGCGGCCTTGCCTAGGAACGGCCTGCTGTCAGTTCCCCGTGTGTTGGGAATGTTGGAATTTGGAAATAGAGGGCCTGGTGCTTTGGCGCATGAAACTTCGGGCAGATTTTTCGAACCTCTCTCAGCTCTCATTTCTTGTAAACATGGGTACAATTTCTCAGTAACCTGCTGTGGCTGCTCGTGAACACAGGCTGCTCCACACTCAAGTGCCTCATGGGTTATCTGTGGGGTCCTTCCATGTCTTCGCCCCAAGGAGTCTGGTGTATTACTTTCTCCACTTTATAGGTGAAGAACTGGAGAGTTAGAGGCACGAATAACTTGCTTCATATCATCCAATGGCAAGTGGCAAAGTTGAAGCTTGTTTTCTAGTCCTGGTGTCAGCATAAGAAGAGCACATGCTTAAGTGGCTCAGACTTCAGCCTAAAGAAATGGAGGCTGGTCAGGGATGAGATAATTGGTTCTCAGGCACGCTTGAAATATGAATCTTTGTGTATTAGGCCGCAGTGAGTCATAACAGTCACCAGAGAATCCATGGCACATAGACCATGTGCTCTCAGCGATGACGGCCCACAGCTGAACTTGGCCAGCCACACTGTTTTTGTAAGAAAAGCTTTAACTGGAATACAACCACCTTCATTTCTTGACAAATTGTCTGTGGTCACTTTGGGAACAATACCACGAGATGGAGGAAGGGAGATGGGAGGGGTGAGGAGAGCCATGCAAAAAGAGGATGTGCTGTGTGCTTGTGCCTACGCCTTCTATAATGTAATCGTATACTGCAAACGTGGACTAATAGAGTTGTCTGCAAAATGTGAAATATTCTGGTGCTTTACGGGAAGATTTTGCTGATTTCTGATGTTACAGATCATGTTTTCTGATCATTAGTGATAGAAATAAATAGATTAGGAGAAAAAATCTTACATTTTGAGAAATTAGAAAGCTCTTGTCAGGCTAGAGGTGTAGCTGAGAGGTACAGTGCTTGCCTAGCATGTACCAGTGTCTGGGTTTGAGCCAGTGCTGCAGATAAACACCCAGAACCAAATACACATGTACACAAAAACCCTAATGTGTGTGTGTGGTGTGTGTGTGTGTGTGTGTGTGTGTGATATATATATACACACACACTTTTGTTTTAGTTGCTTAATAGGCCCATGAACGTAGAAAGAGTACAAGTTCTTTCCATAAATGATTTTTGTTTTGTTACTTGTCTTGCAGTTTGAAGGATGAAATTCAGGGCTTCACAAATGCCAGGCCAGTGTTCTACTACTGACATCCTCAGTCCTCACGTGATTCTTTAGACCAAGTCTGACACCTCTGAAAGCTCCCTCATGCATGACAGTAGGTGGAAGGGGCAGGGGCATTTGAAAACTGTGGAAAGATAACTTCAAGAAAGTTGCTACCCTGGGTTTCTTTCTTTTTTTTTTTTGGTTTTTTGAGACAGGGTCTCACTATGTAGTTGAGACTGACCTGGAACTCACTATGTAGCCCATACCCTGGGTTTCTTTCTTTTTTTTTTTTGGTTTTTTGAGACAGGGTCTCACTATGTAGTTGAGACTGACCTGGAACTCACTATGTAGCCCATACCCTGGGTTTCTTTATCTGAACTCTCTGCAGGAGTTGCTGCTAGTCTGTCACAGTACCTGCAAACTGTTAGCTTTTTTGTTGCTCTGCAGAATAACAGAAAAGCAATATAAAAGGAAAAGTTTATTTTGGCTCATGGTTTCACAAGTTTCAGTGGATGGTCAGCTGGCTCCATTGCTTTAGGCCTGTGCTGAGGCAGGAACAACATGGTGGAAGGGTGTATGGTAGAGGAAAATGTTTACCTCGTGGCAGCCAGGAAATAGCCAGCCAGAGAGAAAGGGGCCTGGAAAAAGATAGTGCTCTAGGACACATACCCATGACCCATTCTAGTAACTAGGCCCTGCCTCCTGAGGTTCTATCACTTTCCGATAATGTCATCAAATTAGGAATTCATCAATGGATAAACCCACTGTCGAAGTTAGAATCCTTGTGATCCAATCATCCACCCACCACTGGACATTGCTGTGCTGGGGACCAAATCTAGTGCACTGGAGCCTTTTGGGATGTATTGTACTCTTTTACCAAAGAAGTAGGAGGAGAGGAGAGCCTGTACTTTGTCTGGTCTTTAAGAAAATTTGCAATGTAAGATACCTGGCCTCTTTGCTAAGGAGATTATGTGCAAAGACCCTGAGACCATATGGAGAGGAAAGGGTCCAGCTGTATTCAGCTTATCAGCCATACCAGCAAAGACCAGGTAGATGAAAAGTTGTATTGGTTGCTCCACACCATCTAGGCTGGATCCCAAATATTGAGCAACTCCATTGAGTGCCATGTGGAGCAGAGGAATCGCTCAGCCAAGCCTTTCCCAAATTATTAACCCATAAAATTTTAAATACAATTTCCAGGCTTTCACTTCTTATCTGTGGAATCGAAGCTAGGGCTTCATGCTTGCTAGCCAAGTGCTCTACCACTACTGCTACTACTACTACTACCACTACCACTACTACTACAACATCTCTAGTCTCAAAAGGTTGCAGTTTCAAGCCCTAAATTTTGGATTAGTTCATTACTAGTAGATAAGTCGGTTTAGAATGGTAACACAATCCTCGAGCCCTTTCAGTGTTGTAGTGAGCGTTACCTAACAAGTCTGTCTGAGTATCATTTGATGTTCTAGTGGAGTTCACTTTGGCTTAATGAGTGCTCAGACAGTACTAAGGTATTGATTTATAGAAGTAAATTACATGTTAATTTATACAAGTCACAAAATATTTGTCCAGAGAAGGTGATTTCCTTTTTGTGGAAAAGATAATCTTTTTTCTTTCTGGTACCAGGGATTGAACTTGTGAGGCAGGTGACGGAACCACTGAGCTAAATCCCCATCCCAGAAAAGGTAATCATAAAGGGGACAGCTTTTTTACACTAACCAACATTTTAAGTCCTTACGTAAAGCATTGTAGTTCTTAGTTTCTTGTATCCTCTCTGAATCAGCTTTCCCATCTTGTGTTCTCAGTGAAATAAGTAAATCTTTGATACATGCTTGTACTGTATTTGAGAGAGAATCATGTTTTTAATTCTTTGGAATTTATATTTTAACCAACTATTATATCAAGCATTTTTTGCAGGCTATTCAGTTCAATACCTATTTAAGAAGCTATTGTGTAAAAGATTGAGAATCTTATGGAAGAGCTCATGAACTAGGCCTGGGTAGTTTTTTAGGTGTGAATGAAGTTCTGATCTGTGGTGTATTAGGTTCTCATTACTGCTGTAACTAATTACTGCAGACTCAGTGGCTGGAAGCCTCACAGATACATTCCATGATAGTTCTGGAAAGTAGAAGTCTAAAATGGGCTGTAGAACTACATTCCTTTTGGAGACTCTAGAGGCGAATTGTTTTCTTC